GCAGGGCCCGTGGGGGGGTTTGGGGCACCGCCCTCTATCACCCACAGAGCAGGGCCACTCAGGGGCTTAGGGCGCTGCTCCCTGTCACACACAGAGCAGGGCCCGTGGGGGGGTTTGGGGCACCGCCCTCTATCACCCACAGAGCAGGGCCACTCAGGGGCTTAGGGCGCTGCTCCCTGTCACACACAGAGCAGGGCCCGTGGGGGGGTTTGGGGCACCGCCCTCTATCACCCACAGAGCAGGGCCACTCAGGGGCTTAGGGCGCTGCTCCCTGTCACACACAGAGCAGGGCCCGTGGGGGGGTTTGGGGCACCGCCCTCTATCACCCACAGAGCAGGGCCACTCAGGGGCTTAGGGCGCTGCTCCCTGTCACACACAGAGCAGGGCCCGTGGGGGGGTTTGGGGCACCGCCCTCTATCACCCACAGAGCAGGGCCACTCAGGGGCTTAGGGCGCTGCTCCCTGTCACACACAGAGCAGGGCCCGTGGGGGGGTTTGGGGCACCGCCCTCTATCACCCACAGAGCAGGGCCACTCAGGGGCTTAGGGCGCTGCTCCCTGTCACACACAGAGCAGGGCCCGTGGGGGGGTTTGGGGCACCGCCCTCTATCACCCACAGAGCAGGGCCACTCAGGGGCTTAGGGCGCTGCTCCCTGTCACACACAGAGCAGGGCCCGTGGGGGGGTTTGGGGCACCGCCCTCTATCACCCACAGAGCAGGGCCACTCAGGGGCTTAGGGCGCTGCTCCCTGTCACACACAGAGCAGGGCCCGTGGGGGGGTTTGGGGCACCGCCCTCTATCACCCACAGAGCAGGGCCACTCAGGGGCTTAGGGCGCTGCTCCCTGTCACACACAGAGCAGGGCCCGTGGGGGGGTTTGGGGCACCGCCCTCTATCACCCACAGAGCAGGGCCACTCAGGGGCTTAGGGCGCTGCTCCCTGTCACACACAGAGCAGGGCCCGTGGGGGGGTTTGGGGCACCGCCCTCTATCACCCACAGAGCAGGGCCACTCAGGGGCTTAGGGCGCTGCTCCCTGTCACACACAGAGCAGGGCCCGTGGGGGGGTTTGGGGCACCGCCCTCTATCACCCACAGAGCAGGGCCACTCAGGGGCTTAGGGCGCTGCTCCCTGTCACACACAGAGCAGGGCCAATCCGGGGGTTGGGGCGCTGCCCCCTGTCACGCTGATCCCGGTGCTGGGAGGCATATTACCCTTTTACTATATAGAATAGAGGCCTGGTGCACGGGTGGGAGCCACCTGATTTGCCCTGAAGGGTGTCCTGGATTAGGGTGGGGGTCCCCACTGGGGTGCCTGGCCAGTCTGGGTGAAGCTCCCAACCGCTCCTTTTTTTCTTTTTTTTATTCTGGGCCAGCTTTAGCTCTGAGGCCTCGGCTGCTGAAAGCCGGTTTCTGGCCTTTGTTTTTCCTTCTGTATTTGATACAATGTTGCGGTCAGGCTGGCTGAAGCCCGGCTGACTGAAAGCTGGTTTCTGGGTTTTTTTTAGCTTCTATGCTTGTTACAATGTTCAAACTGCAGGCTCAGAGGCCTGCAAGGCAGGCGGGGAACGTTGGTTTCCTCCGTCACTGAAGGAAGCAAGCCTCATGTTAGTTTCCAGCTGCCTGGCTGCCGGCCGCCATCTTGGCTGTCAGTTAATTTGCATATCTCCCTGATTAGCCAATGGGAAGGGGAGCGTCGTATGCTAATTACCATGTTTCTCTTTTATTAGTGTAGATACTAGTGGTCTGGTGCATGAAATTCGTGCATGAGGAAGGGTGTCCCTCAGCCCGGCCTGTACCCTCTCCAATCTGGGACCCCTCGGGGGATGTCTGACTGCTGGCAGTTGGACATCCCTCTCGCAATCTGGGACTGCTGGCTCCTAATCGCTCACCTGCCTGCCTGCCTGGTTGCCCCTAACTACTCTGCCTGCCGGCCTGCTCACCTCCAACTGCCCCTCCCCTCCGGCCAGATTGCCCCAACTGCTCCCCACTGCCAGCCTGCTCACCCCCAACTGCCCCTCCCTCCAGCCAGATTGCCCTCAACTGCTCTCCACTGCCGGCCTGCTCACCCCCAACTGCCCCCCCCCCACTGGCCTGATCACCCCCAACTGTCCCCAACTGCCAGCCTGCTTACCCCCAACTGCCCTCCCCTCCTGGCCTGATCACCCCTAACTGCCTCTGCCTTGGCCCCGCCACCATGGCTTTGTCTGGAAGGACATCCGGAAAGTCTCCCGGAAGGTCTCCTGGTCTAATTAGCATATTACCCTTTTATTAGTATAGATATTGCATAGCACATGCGAACCCTTTCATTCTGAAGTCTTACATCTTTTTTATTTTTAGTCTTGAGAAATCAGTAGATATTATTCTTTAACTCTTGGCTCCCTGCCTCTTCTCTGTTTCTCCTCTGCAAACTCTTTGTTAGATTTTGGTAAATTTAGAGCTATTCCCTGTGATCCTTTTCTTTTAAGCTTTCTCTTTATCCTTCTATCTTATATTCTGGAAGAATTCCTTGGCCCAATCACTCTAGTTCACTAACTTACCCCTCCATTTTTTCATTATGCTATGGAGCCATCTATTAAATTCTTAATGGCAACAATTACTTTTTTTTTATTTTCAAGATCTCCTCTTGATGCTCTTTTGTAAAAATCAAGATGTGGGCGTTGTTTCATGGATGTAACAGCATGCTCCCGACCTCTAAAGCTATCAGTCACTCCTGAGCAGTGGAGTTCTGCAGGCCTCCCAACTGCAAAGCCTCCTGTCCCCATCTCGCTGGCTGCTGGCAGCCCTCGTGTCCTAGGCAGTCCTGGCTGCGAGTTCACCTTTCCTAGACTCTCACTCCCTCTGCATGGACAGCCCATCGGAAGTGAGGGGGACGTGGCTGTGGGTGCTTGTGCTCCTTGCTTTTCTCAGTGAGCACAGGGGGCGGGCAGAGCTGAGGACAGCAGCTGGGTCAGATCTCACCGGGTCTCTCATTGTCCTGTCACCTCAGCTCCCTGAGGCCCTTTCCTCTTTCTCCATCCTAACGGGGACCTAAAGGCTGGGTGGAGAAGGAAAGGAGTGCCTGTATTCATGGGACACCGCTCCCTACAGCAGCTCCTGCCCTCTGATGCACCGGAGGCCACCACTTCCAGGCAGGAGACTTGGCGGCACTGCCCCGGGTCTGGTCTGTCCCGCTCCCTTGCCCATCTCGGCCCACCTTTCAGTCTCCCAGGAATTTTTTCTAGCGTCTAGTCGCTTAAGAAATTTACTTCTTGTTCTTGGTGGTGGTTGCGGGGAGAGGGGGGTTGGCTGGAGATTCCGGTGCTTGTTTATACTAGTTCTGTAACTCCCAGGTTTGGTGCAGCGGAGGGAGCCCGCAGCCTGTACTGACTCAGTCTGACATTTTGAACCCTCACATTCAGCTGAGCCCCTGAGCCACAGGCAGGACACCAAGGATTGGGAGAAAACACAGGAACTGTTCCATATGTTGGCCATTTCCCTCCTGGCTCTTGGAAACTCCATTCCCTGACCCCTTTAACAGCTGGCTTCTGGGTGAGTTCAGCCTATGGGAGGCACTGGGGGAGCCTGGAGGGGAGCGGAGGGAGCAGCTAGGGGTCCTTGCTGGGAGGATGCCTGGTCAGCAACCTAGCTTCCACCGGGCAGCCTGCATCATGGGCCAGCTCCCACTGGCCAGCTCCAGGCTCAGGCATTGGCATCACAACTTCTCCCCTTGTCCCCTGGGTCCTGGGGGGGGGGAGCTCCCACTGGTCCTGACCTTGGGGTGCTGCAGCATGGCCTCAAGACCACCTCCTACACAGTGCATTTCCTCTCTTAGATGCTTTTCGTGGAAAGGTCTAGAATGATTTTTCTTCCTGGCTGGACCCTGACATAAATAAAAATTCTGAAGAGCCATCTTCAAGGTCATGTTTGGTAGTCCCTGTCTGAGGCGAAGGGAGGACCATGGCGAAGGAATTCTCACTCGGGTTCTCAATATCTAAGGTATCGCAAGGTATTGCAAGGTCATGACATGACATTTTTTTTAAATGTGAGTTTTGGCAATATATTTCAGCGTAGCTGCATACTTCCCACAAAGCAGTTTTGTAAGAACAACCTGAAGGGCACCTCGTAGTATTAAACACAGTGTTCTAGAATTTGGAAACGCTGTCTGGAGGAGTAACTGCTTAGTGCATAACCGAAAGCTTGCTTTAGACTTACCGCCAGGGGCAGCCACGAAATAGTTTAAAGGAAATATTTTCATTGTCTCTACTGTTTACCGTTCTCTCCTCCGGGAGAGGGTGAGGTGAAACAGCCACATCCCTTGAGAAAGAGCTTGTGCAGCTCTGTTTCTAGTTTGAAAGTAGAACTGCCACCCCCTCAGCCTGGGCCGTGATACCACTCCACAAAGGCTTCACACGCAGCACAGACACAAGGAGGGCCCCGGACCGGAGAGGGGACAGGAGACACATGGCCCTGACGTGCCACGTGATCGGGCCCTGACGTGCCATGTGGCCACGCATCAGAAGGCTGGAACGAAGCCGCCTGTCTGGGGCCCTGAATACCTGCTTTCAGCCCCCTTCTGGGTGTTTGAACTGTACTGTATGGGCCGTCTACTTATGAAGGGGGAGCCTGCTTTGCCGGGGTAAACTGGAGCCGGCAGCAAGATGCTGCTGAATACAAGGGCCGTCTGCTGAGCTCCTTTCAGGTCTGAGGCACAGCGCAGGAGCGCTGGTGGACGGTTTTACAATTGCATGACTGCGAGGCAAGCCCTTTCTTCAGCTGCACTAGGAGACATGCCCACCCTCTCCATGCTCTGCCCCTACTTCCCCCCGGCCCCGGGCGACAAGAACCCTACCAGCCTCGCCAGCTTTCCATGGCAAGCTGCCACTCCCAGCTGGCGCCGCAGTGCAACTGCAGGCTGACCCCGGAGACATTCACGCTTTTAGGTGCATTCATAACATTAGGGCCAACAAAGACGTTAACACAAACTCTCACTGTCAGAGAGGAAGCAAGCAAGTCTGCAGGCTTACAGGAGGAGCTCCGCCTCTGTGAGTGCCTCGGTCCTCAGCTCCCCCGTGACCAGGGCCAGCTCATCCCTCAGCTCCTGGACTTCCTTCTGCAGGCGTGCGATCATCTGCAAGGCAAGGCGAGAGCGACTGTCAGCTCCTCCGGGGACTCGGCGACCGAGACACACACCTCTCCAAGTTATAACCTACTTGGAGGGTGCAAAAGGGTACAGAGAATGATAGAAAGGGCACTCCCATGCCTCCCACCGAGCTTTGTGAAATCTTAACATATTATTTAAAATAGTTTCAGAATTCTTTTTAACAAATACGACATTACTGACATAAGTGGAACCCCTTATTCCTATATCCCTCTGTCCTTTCTGGGGTGATCGCTAACTGCATGTAGTGGGGAGCATTCCCCATATGTTCACGTATTTACTCCGTGTGTACGGATGGAACTGTAGTAACGTATGGCTTCACTGTGCATGCCTTCAACTTTATGTAAATGTTACTATATAGCATGTAACTGCAATTCATTCCCCCCCACATTATATTTCTGAGATTAATTATGTTGTTAATTTCCATCGGGTATATAGTATTTCAGTAAACGAATAGATCACAGTTTATTTATTCATGTCTCCTGCTGAGGGACACTTAGGATTTTTACCTTTGCTGTTACAAACAGTGCTGTGTGACCATGATAAGTCTCTGGCATGTATGTGGGTTTCTTCAGAGTGAGCACTTAGAATTGTGAGGGTGTAGAGCAGTGGTTCCAACCTTTTTTTGGCCATGCCCCACCTACGCATCTCTAAAATCCTGATGCCCTCACTGTGACATATAATTCTTATTATTCAAAAAGTGAACTCCTATTCACATGGAGGAAGCCTAAAAGACCATCAACTTGGTCTAAACAAGCTTCCAAAGAACATGGCATCAATGAAAGAGAAAATAAAAGAACAAAAGGACAGTCGAAGTACTGAGGAAAAAGTCACTAAGACATTGTTTTAAAAATAATAATATGAAGTGATATGAAAAAATAGCAAATGAAATTTCAAAACATATACTAGAGAACTGAAATGCATAAATATGTCACAATATATATTTAGATACTATATATGAGGCCCTAGAACCATAAGAAATGCAAAAACTTCATTGTTAATAACTCATTCTCAAATTGTCCCGCTTAAAAAATCAAATTGCCCCCCTGTGGGGCGTGTGCCCCACATTGGGAACCACTGCTGTAGAGTATTGCATATTCCCTTCAATACATGGGGTTAGACTGCTCTTCAGAGTGGCTGTATAGATTTTCATTCTCAACAGCTATGTATCGGTTCATTTCCCCACATTATTGCCACTATGTACGCTAAAGACAGACCCTTTAATTTTGTCCACCAGGTATCTCAATCAGTTCTAATCTGCATTTTCATGATTATTAGAGAGGCTGGTCATCTGTGCATGAATATATATTGGCTCTTTGGATCTCCTCTCCTGTGGATTATTTATTCATATTCTTGCTCATATTCAGTTGAGTTGTTTTTTTCTCCTTCCTTATTCATTTACAGCTTCTTTATATATTCTGGATGCACACCCTTTATTAGTTTTATGCAACACACATATTTTATCCCAATCTATGTCATATTTTTTCACTTTCTGGTGTTCTTTTTGGTAAATGAAAATTTTAAATTTCAATATAATTCTATTATCAACTTCTTCCCTTATGAGTTGGATTTCTGTGTCTTCTGAAAGAAAATCTATTTTACCTAAAACCAAAGGAATATTTTCCTATGTGTTCTTATAAAAGTTTTAAAGCTTTGCTTTTCACATTTAGGTTGATTATATTTTGTACAAAGTCTAATATACAGATCTATTTTAAATTTATTTTTAATACAGCTAACCATACAAGCTTTGCTATTATAATTCTATTATATAACATGTTTCCATATATAAATGTGTCTTTTTCTAGGCTATTAGTTAAAAACATTTGTCTGCTTGACTATACGTATGGCAATACCACACTGCTTTAATTACTATAGCAGCTCCGTGGTCGGCAAACTGCGACTCGCGAGCCACATGGGGCTCTTTGGCCCCTTGAGTGTGGCTCTTCTACAAAATACCACGTGTGGGCGCGCGTAAAGTGCGATTGTAACTTCGTGGCCCATGCGCAGAAGTAGGTTTTCGGCCTGGGTGAGTCTGTTTTGAAGAAGTACTGTTGATATTTGGCTCTGTTGACTAATGAGTTTGCCGGCCACTGCTATAGCTTAAGAAGACATTTTGGCATCTACATACCACAAGTCCCTTCCATCTTGTTCTTTTCCAAATAGACTTGGCTATTCTTGGTCATTTGCTCTTTTATATAAATTTTAGACCCAGCTCATGAAATTCTGCCAAAGGCCCTCCTCAAATTTTAACAGGAAATAAATTTGAGTAAAATAAATTTGATTAAAGTCTGATGAGTCTTTTCAAACTACATATGAATGTTTAATGTTATCAAATACCTTTTTCTACATCTGGTGATGTGATCATGTAATTTTTCTCTTTTAAGCTGTAAATGTGACGAATCCCCTGATTTGTGTAATTTTTTTGTTAGTATGAACCACCTCAGATAAACAAAAAGATATAAGAACACCTTGTACCCACTACTAAGCTTAAGAAATAAAACATGACAGACTCTTTGAAGCCCTCGTGCTGTATAGCCTGCCCTCAGTGAATTCTCCATTACCATTACCCTAAATTTGGTATTTATTTTTCCCATGGCTATGTTGATTTTACTATACATTCATTTATTTTCTAATGATAGATTATCCTTAAATTCCTGAAATAAGCCCAACTAGGTCATGATAACACACACTATATTAATGATCATATGACCGATCATAATATGAAGTTGCTTAAATAAAAATTAGGTTAAATACAATTTTTATTCTTCCTTCAATATTTGATGAACATAAAATATATTGAGTCTGGTCCTTCCTTCCTTCCCTTCCTCTCTTTCCCCTTTTTTCTCTTTATGGTAGCTTTGTTATTATGGAGTCAATGTATTTATTAGTTGTAGATCTATTCATGCTTTACAATTTTTCTTGCTTTAGTTTCAGTGTTATGTTTTTCTAGGAAGTTCTCCATTTTGTTTAAGTTTTCACATTTATACCATAAAGTCATTCAAAGTACTTTATTATTATTTTAAGATAGTTACTGTATATAATGTTAAGTCCCCCTTGCATTCCAAGTACTGTTATATCAATTTGTGCTTTCTTTATTGATTTTTCATTAGTCTTTCCAGAGATTTGTTCATATTAAAAATAAACTCCAGGTTCTGTTGTTTCTCTCCACTGCATCTTTCTTTTCCTTTTGTTTTTACTAGTTTTTATACTTTTTAACTTCTGTACTTCTCTTGTGTGGATTTACTCAATTGTTTATGTTCTAACTCCTTGGCTTAGATGTTACTAGACCAAGTTCAAATTTGAACTTCAAACTCATGAGAGGCAGAGCCTTGGGATTTCGAATTTTCAGTGAAGCCATGTTTTATTCTACGCGGAGTCTAGGCCAAGCGAACAGATTCTTTCCTTTCAGGTTCAAACTTTCACTGTTTTTAGGTTGGGGAGGTGGGGGGAAGAGCTTCCTTAGGTTCATCATCTGCCTTCTCAGGCTTTGACCTCTCTGCCTCTGAACCCCCTTCACCCTTTGTTTCCATGACAACTGCAGCCTCGGCTTTGTTTCTTGGCCCTGAAGAAGTCCCCTACTTCCTCCCACCTCAGACATATATATTTTAAGTAAATTCACAGAAAATGCTTGTTACATTTTTATGTATCTATATTATCAGTATCACATCAACAGAAGTTCCAAAGAAGATGATAGGAATATTTTGAACATCTCAATGTTCCTAGAATTTCATTTAAATGTGCAGAACTGAGTGGGTTTTGGTTACTTACTTCTTTTAAAAAACATTCTTAGAATCATCAAGCTATGCAGAATGAAAACCTTGGGCAGGAACTATGTGAGTCATTCATGTGTACCCTCCCTCTACTAAGTTGATCTTGATGCCATGCTCTCTACTTCTACCGAGGCTTTCAAAGTAAAATCTAACAAATTATCTTCTGTTTTACTGAACAAAAATCTTAAAACTCAGCCAACTTTTCATGATTTTGAAATTATGACAGCCACACTTCCCCCTCGAGTCACCGCGGGGACTTCAGAATGAGGGCCATCCTGAGATCTGACGCATGCCCAGTGAGCGCAGACTCTGGCTGGTTCCAGTTCCTTCATCACCGTGTCTCTCTGAGGCACTAATTCTCATAAAGAAAGCAAGTCAGATCCGTGCTGATCCAAGCTGACAGGGCGGGTCCACATTTGCCATGAAATTTTGAGAGTGAGATATAGGAAATCCCACTCAAGCGGTATTTGGGGTGGTTCTGAGGACAAATTTTCAATTGTCACTTGTGCTTCAGAAATACATAAGGTAATGAACAGTACTATCAGGCTTTAGAAGCAATTATAAAAGAGACCAGGGAACAACACTTCACAGATCATTCTGCACCAGGAAGGCCTCCACATTTATTCAATTATCGGCTACTAGCTTTGGACGCTTGTTTTTAAAGTTCTCACAGACCTACATCAAACACATGATAATGTTTACCTTTCTTCAAATTCCTCAAGTTCCTTTAAAGAAAAGTCTCTTTAGCCAAATTAAAAAAAAAATACTAACTAAATGTCTAATATGTTTATTTTCCTTCAATTATAAACTAACTTTTGGCTTCTGGCTAATAACCCATTACTGTCTTCCTCCTGCGCAGTAATGTTTCAGGGCTGTTGACAGGGGTCAGGCAGCAGGACATTCATCCCAGGAGTTCAGTTCCACTGGACTCAGTTCCTCTGAACGTTGCCTCCCCTGTCCAGTGGGCCCATGGGATGCTGTATCCGACCACGGCCTGTGCTGGGAATAGATCCTTCCCCACCCACTGGTTTCTCCTGGAGAGAATTACATCAGGGGATAGAACACAGACTCG